TGCTGTTGAAAACAGATACCTTTTGATAGCCTCCTTTTCTTCTTTTGGTTGTGTACAGTAGGCACATCTTCCTTTGTGTGATAACAACACCATCACCCTCTTGTCACAGTCACCACACCTTCCTCACCACCAAAGGTAAAAGCACTTTCTCCTAATGTCTTTTGGGATGCAAGCAGCTGTTTCTTCCTCAGATGCTGCCTGACCAAAGTAAGCTACCTGCTCAGTGTTTGTTTCTATCTGGTCCATTTTCAGCTAGTTGTGGGAATTGGCCATCTTGGTTCTTCAGACCATCTCCCCCTTCTGCACTGCTCTGAAGGTCTTCATGCACACAGTCCATGGTAGCAAGTACTCTTCTTTGCTGCCCATACTCTGCCTCTTGAATAAGACTAACAAGTGCAGTGTTTCTCTAGAAGATTGGCTGAGATAATTCTGTGCTTTCTGCTTGAATTTTTTTAAACCACTTATTCTGCTCTGTGCCAATGAGAATTTGAGGGAAAGGCACTTAAAGATCCTCCTTTTTCTCCCCCAACCACGGCCTCAGCTGCTGTTTCACAATACTGTTTGCAGTCTGAACAAAATTTAACTTCTCTTGTCACTTCTTTTCAGCAGGTGCCAGTGCTGCTATGGTTTCTGAGTGCTCCAACAACAAATCATTAATCTGCATCTTTGTGGCTTGTAGTTTCTTCTTAGTGATTCTCCCTCCATTTTTTGCTCTCTGGCTAATCTTCTCTTCTAACTGTCCCTTCTCAGGTTGCTTGGGTGAGCTGGAATTGCAAAAACATCACTCCTCCCTCTGCATTGGACAATCTAGACTAGACCTTAGGGAAGACAGCCATCAGCTGCTTAGCGTTTCCCACCTCTGGGATGCTATGGCCTCTCTCATTTGCTTGTGAAGTAAGTACTTGCTCTCACCGTGACTGAACTGCAGCTGATTGATCTGTATCGCACAAGTGGCCACATTGGACTCCAGGCTTTTTCTCTGCTCTTCTTTAGCCTACAGGGCTTCACTCTTCTCTCAGGTGAATTTGGTGCACTCTTGGCAGAGTATTCCCTACCCTGTACCTTGCTGGTTCTTCACTGATTGCAGACCTGAAAGAAGAGTCTGTAAGAGAAGGTAAGTCCTGCAGAGCACTGTGCTGGTATTCCAGCTGCTTATGCAAGCACCTAACCATGGCAAACAGCTACTGAATTCTGGTTAATCGGTTCCAGCAGCTTGACCACATGTGGGACTCTGGAGCTGTGCATCCCTGGTCAGCTCCACTTTTTGGAAATTATTTTAGCTCTGGTAGTTTCTGATTGGTTCTCTTCCCTATTTCCTTTCTAGAAACTTTCTCTCTAGTCAAGCCTGTTTCACTGAGCTCAAGGCACACTGCTGCATGAGCAATTGGCCCCTAGTCTTAGACTTCCACTGCTTCTTCTACTTCTTTGTCTTGCCTGGGCTGAAGATATCTGACATCACCTCAAACACTCCTGAAAAGGATGCACTGCACTCCTGTCATGCTTTAGGTACATCCCAGAGCAGGAAGGTATTATGTTGGGGTCCATAGATTTGGGGCAGTAGACCCAGTCATGTCCATACTCATTACAGTTGTCACACCAATTAAAGTGTCTCTTGGTGCTCTCCACTGAGTGTGAACAGCCCTATTCAGAAGACTGGACAGGTCCAATCGATAATGCAACTTCCTACCATGCTACTTGAGCCAGCAAGTTATGCATCATCAGTTTATTGATACTCCTGTCTTCCCCAAAACTTCCCTAGGTTTTGGTGTGCATTCAGGTCTCCAAAGCACCTGCTACTAAAATTAATCCGCTGTTAGCACTTTGCATGCCCTTTATACGGCAAAATGTTCCAGGTACATCATACAAGATCACACGTTGAAAAAATGAAACAGATGAAGTCCCTGAAAGTGAGATGATGAAAGATTGCTTTTTCATAGCCTGCCCAACACTGTTAAATGACAAAAGGAGCTTGAGAAAGAAGTGGGAAAAAAAAGCGGCCTGATGGTACTGTGGCAAGACTGGACTCAGACACAAACTAGGAGACTCTGAGAGTACAAATGTCCTAAAGGATGTTATGGATGAAAGCACCAATATCCAACATATCTCATCAGAGTTACAACTGCTAATTTGATGTGAAGAAAACAGAATGCAGTGTAAAATGGAAATGGGAGAGTATCTCAAAATTCAGCATTGGGTAAGATTTTGTTACTTTTTTAACAAGTAGGGGAGAGGTAGTACTAAAGTTAGAATTCTGCTTAACCCTTCTTCTAGAGACCCATGCCTTTGACGCAGTCCTTGGGGCAGTTAGCCCAAGGGGTGGAAGGACCTCAAGAGCCAGTTGTTTTTAGTTATTTTAGCCAAAAACTGTAATTCCAAAAGACTCAGTAATAGAGAGTAACGGAATATCTAATCGAGAAATAGGTTGTTGCCAGTTTAAATTATTGCCAATGGAACTATCCATTTGTGATGAAACTTGACCACAGGGCTTTAATGCACGTAAATCAGATATGGGATGTCAACTATCATATTCTGAGGTGTGTTTATCACCGCAGTGCTTTTAAATTTAAATTTAACTTGCTATCATTTCAAAGGGCTCATACTGTATTTGTGTGATGGGAATTTAGTACCATCTGGTGGACATGACAGGGGTAGGATTACTGTTACATGAAGGTTTTGCAAACGTTCACTGTATCCATTTACCTGTGACTTGATAGTGAAATGGAACTGGATTTTGTGAACACGTACAGTATATGTGGCTATAATTGTGATTGCTTTCACATTAACCTTCAGGTGTACTCCCATTGAAAAAAAAATCTTATCTGCAAATATTTCTAGTCACAAAATTCTAAAATGTTATACACTAATCTTAACACTTCAATGAGAAAAGCAGCATTTGTCCTAAATTTAAAAAACTCAAGGGTAACATTTGTTCAATCACCTTTTGCTGGTATTTTGTAGATCCTTCTCCATCATTTGAGTACCTACAAGATGCTGAGATTCTGGCACATCTGGGGTTTGGGGCGTTTTGACAATTCCTCCTTGCAGAACTGCTCTAGGTCTTTCAAACCCTTTAGTTTCTATTTATGAACTGTCATAACCACAGGTCTTTGGTTGGATTGAAGATAGGAGAGTGACATTTAAAGTAATAGTAACTTTAGTGTAATATTTTTTACAGCTATGTACAGTTAACCATCTTTTTGTGGTTCTGAATGTATGCTCTTGATGACCACAATGGTAGACATGGCCAAATGGCATTTTTGGTCAAACTTGCAGATATGTGCAGAGAAAATAGGTGTTGAGCCAAAATATAAAGGGACCAGTTAGAGCGTCCATTCTCCCTATCTTAACAAGTTCAACAGGTCAGAAGATATTATATACCCTGTGCCTGTTGTTAGAGTGGGTATGTTTTTACACATTTCACAACAAATGATCATATCCAAAAATACAAGTTTTCATTTAATTGGCCACAAAGATATCCTTCCATCCGCCGTTCACATGTAATTCAGCAAATTCAAGTCGCCCCTTTCTGTTGTTGCTCATAGAAGAGGCTTCTTCCTTACAACTGAAGTAAGACACAAGATGTAAAAAGGGTTAACTTAAGTCAGTCCTGCCTGAAAATTAGACTTCTAAGCAACAGGGATTTATGGCAGGAAAGGGGGTTAACTGATAAAGATTCCAGATGCTAGCTAGGAACTCCCTGGGGGCATAATCTTAAACTGACCATTTGACCAGTGTCTCTTAACTGCCCAAATACCATGACCCCCCCCTTACCATAACACCGAATGACGTCCGAAGCAGCAAGGAAGGACTATATAACCTACAAGTTTGTACCGGCACATCGAACAATACTTCGGTTTTGTTGTTTCTTGCGGGAAACAAGACTTCGGCTTTATTATTCCTTGCATGCAATAAACTCATCTGTTTTACTTCATCTCGGGATCCAGAACCTTATTCTTTCTGTTACAACACAACCCAGCTGTGAAATGGTGAAATGTGAAATGGTGAAACCATTTCTAACTAACTAGTAGTGGATATTACAGTGGAAATTGGTAGATTCAGTTTTTTGTAATTCTTTTATAACTAATAATAATTCCTTATACTTACATAGTGCTTTTCTGGACGCTCCACTCAAAGCGCTTTACAGGTAATGGGGACTCCCCTTCACCACCACCAATGTGCAGCCCCACCTGGATGATGTGACAGCAGCCATAGTGCACCAGAACGCTCACCACACATCAGCTATCAGTAGAGAGGAGAACAGAGTGATGAAGATTATTGATGATTATTGGTGATGGGGACCATTAGGAGGCCATGATTGGTAAAGGCCAATGTGAAATTTGGCCAGGATGCCAGGGTAACACCCCTACTCTTGTCAAGCACAGAGAGTCAGATACTCGGTTTTACGTCTCATCCGAAGGACGGCGCCTGTTTACAGTATAGTGTCCCTTTCACTATAGTGGGGCATTAGGACCCGCACAGACAGCAGGGTGAGGGCCCCATGCTGGCCCCACTAACACCTCTTGAACAGCAACCTCAGTTTTTCCCAGATCTCCCATCCAGGTACTGATCAGGCTCACACCTTAGCTTCAGTGGGCTGCCAGTTGTGAGTTGCAGGGTGACATGGCTGCTGGCAACTACCACTCACCTTGTAGCGGTCAATGAACATTTGCCTGCAGTACATGGTGATGCATTGTGCTATTGTCTTCCATGTGTTACCCCTTTTTATACCTTCAGAGGCATCTATGTAAGTCTGGAGGCTTTGAGTGCACTTCCAAAACAACTGTTTTTAGCAATAACACTGCATATGTATATGAGAATTTTGTTCCTATTAGGGGAATTAATAAACCTGTAGAGCACTGCATATTTGCATTTCTAAAATTCACCTGCTCTGGAACACAGTAACCTGGAAACATAAAGAAGGTGGGACTACACCCAATCCAAGACACCGCAGGTCTGTTTCTGTGTCAACACCAAAGAACATCTGGGAACACACTTAAATGTCTTGTTTTTAAAAGATGTTTATTTATTCAAAGGCATAGATTAACACTTAAATCAGAGTGTATCGAAAATTGTCAGTACCGTTGCTCTACTGCAGACATCTCCAAACCTGGTCCTAGAGAGCCCCAATTCAGCAGGTCATTATTGAATCACCATTTTCTAACAATTTTCGTGTGTTAATGTTTTGAATTAGAGATTGGTGCTTAAGATCTAGGGACCACAGTTCACTGCAATAACTTAAAGATGTGCAAGACACAAGCTTCCTGTAAGAAGAACTGGATATGGTCTCTCTTGGACCAAGGCTGGTGATCTCTACTGTCTCGTCAAGCAGATGTGTTTTGTATTGAGTGCATGGACCCTGTTGCCACACTAACTGCAGCAATAAGGCAGGTCTCCATAATGAATCTGCAGATGTGTATTAAAATCTCTCACACAATTAAAAGTATTCAAGTATTGACTGTATCAATATGGTCTCTCTCCTTTGTGAATCAGCTGATGCTTTTTAAAATCATATGAATACTGAAACCTCTCCCCACAGTGACTGCAGAGAAAAGGTCTTTTCCCTTTGTGAATCTGCTGATGCTTGTTAAAGTCATCTAAATGGTTAAAACTCTCCCCACAATGACTGCAGGGAAAAGGTCTCTTCCCTTTGTGAATCTGCTGATGCTTGTTAAAGTCATCTAAATGGTTAAAACACTTCCCACAGTGTCTGCAGCGATATGGTCTCTCACCAATGTGTATGTGTTGGTGTTTCTTAAAGTCATGGGAATGACTAAAAGTCTTTCCACAGAGGGTGCAGCGGTATGGTCTCTCTCCAGTATGAGCTCGTGAATGATGTTTCACGTAACTTGACTCGCTGTGCCGCTTGCTACTTTGTCTCTCTCCAATGTTGCTGACCCTTGATGTGGTCCCCTGTGTACAAAGACTCGCGGTCCCAGAACTTCCACTTGGCTCTTTCGTGTCCCCCGACAGCGAGGTCAGCGTGCTGGAGGATCCGTGCTGCTTCTGCTGCTTGTATTGTAATGGCAGTGCTTCTGCTTTAGCTGAGGAAGACTGCATATTTATAGATGCTTGTGGTGTAGTCTTCCTAATTCCTGGGCCTCTCTGCTGCTCTCCCCTTTCAAAATCTTCCTTACATTGTCTCTGATCTGCCCTCTTCACTGTGGACCCTTGTACATTATTACCTGTATCCCCCTTTTCAGAGTGAAGAGGGTGTAGTGTCATAGTGTGTTGCTCTGCAGAGGGACTTGACTGGAACTCAATACCTTGCGTTCTAGGTTTAACCTCATTCTGTCCTTTCAGCACTTCCTTGTCTGCTTCTGTAGCAATAGTCCCCCGTTTCCTGAAACTTTCTCTAATTTTCTTTTTGTTCAGAGTCCTGAGAGCTTCTCTATGGGGGTGAGATCCTAAAGAAACCAGATTTTGTTCTCTAGGCACTGGTGCTGTCATGTTGACAGACTCAAGTTCACCAGGATCCTCTATACTCTTTCCAATCCTGTGCTGCACAGCGACATTTCCATTGTCTTCTGTAGGAATGAGTTCCATGTTTTGCATCAGACCTGAGCCCCACACCTCGCTATTGTGTTTAATGGGAGACTCCTTTTTTATGGCAAGGGGGGCACTGGCTCCTGCAGCTCCTGGGAAGAAAAAAAAAAGGTAGGATTAGACAATCTTAGTTACTACAGTGAGGAACAAAACAAAAATCACCCACCTAGAATGTGCAAAAAGTAATGGCAAAGTAATTTGAAAGACTGGCCCTTGAAAAACAAGCCTGAATGAGAAACATAATGTACATCCACTGCAGAACTGAATACAATAACCTTTAAGTCAGGTACTGTACAAAAAAGAGCTGATTGCATCACTGATGCAACCAACTCCAGTCAGATAACTTAACAAACCAATCAACGACAGCACACCCAGCAACATGCACCAAGCTTTGCCACATCAGCATCATTCACTTCTCATCCTCGTCATTTACGAATTAGCCGTGCAATCGAGTAAACCTGACCAGGCCTTCAGGCACTACTGTTTTGGAGTGCTCCAGGAGAATTAGAAAAGCACCAAGAAACTTTATTTTCACTGCTTTGACTGATAAAAACTTACTTTCTCTACAGTTCTAATAATACTACAAAGTGTACCGTTTAATGATCACAATTATTTTAAGATTCCCTTACCACTGTCTTCACTGGGCTAGATTAATAAAGACACATTTTGGAACACTGGCAATCTTGTGAGCACAGGAAAATGTGATAGATAACAGAAAAATATTTAAGGACTGTTCTAGGTTAATTTGAAAAAAATACACAGAGCGTCTCTGTGTTTCACTCCCATGAGCATGAAATAAAAATTTCTTTTAACTTCTGAGACGGACTTCTGAAATGGAAACGGGGAAAAACACAAGCTTGCGGATTGCTAAAGCAGGTAAGCCCCACACTACTTGTGAAGAACTTTGTTTACCATTGGCAAAAGACCTGACATGTATTATGTGTGGAGAAAAAGCTGCTAAACAGCTCGACCTGCTGCCGCCTTCAAAAAACAGTCACTCATAGAATTATTGATATGGAGGATGATGTCAAAAGTACGCTGATAGAGCGCGGCAAGATGAGCAGATGCTTTTCACTGCAATAAGATGAGTCTGTAAATGTTGTTGATTTGGCCAATTTGCTCGTTTACGTTAGATACAAGTTTGAGGGTATGTCCCATGAGGACTTTCTGTTCTGTAAGCCGCTACCAACAGGAACTACAGGATAACACATATTTCAGCTTCTGAATGAATGTATCGAAGACAATGGCATCGTCTGGATAAAGTGCGTCGGAGTTTGTACAGACGGTGCTAGAGGGATGACAAGCCGACACAGTGGTTTAGTTACACGAATTAGAGAGGTTGCCCAGATATGAACTGCAGCATGCACCGCGAGGCCTTGGCAGTCAAGAAAATGCCTGACAATTTAAAATCTGTTAGACTCTGTTGTGAATTGTATCAAGGCTCGACCAATGAATTCACATCTGTTTTGCTCGACTAAACAGGCTCACCTCTCTCACTGAAATGGTGCTTTTTATTGTTTATTTTTAATTGTTGTTTCTGTTGTCATTCTGTAAAGCACTTTGAGAAGCCACCTTTAAAGGTGCTATATCAAATAAAGTGTATTATAATATTTATTATATGTGTATGTGAGTGTGTGCGCGCATGCGTGCTCATGTTGATCTTTGAGATTTTCTAGGGTTCCTATAAGAAGATGACCTGTAGGTGGTACTTGGATGCTTTGGTTTGATCAGGGCTGAAACTTGGTCCAAAAAGTTTGAGAACCACTGCTGTAGACATCCTCAGCGAAAGGGAATATCCAAATAAATAGTGACTGTCCAAGTTATATTTTTGTATGGAATACACTTAAGAAAATCACAAACCGATTTTAAAAACTCACAATTACATGAACTTACACTGGGAAAAGATGACTCCACTTTCTGCTGTATTGCCATGGCCATCCCTCCTGATTATAAAATTGTCTCACAATTCTGACAAGAAAGATAGGGCAGTCAGCAAAAATAATTATCTTTTTATCTTTGCTAACTGCAGTTTATCTAGGATGACAACATCAAAAAAATTAAGGGATGTTTTGGTAACAGCTCCACATCATATTCCTTTTATAACTAACCTCATTCCTCAACTCCCAACTCTACCAGTTTCTCACTTCAGAGAAGGATAAAAAACTCAAAAATCTTCTACAGTGAAAAGCCATTAACACCCCTCCCACCTCCACCAATCCTAACATTGTTGTTACTATACCCCTGACCTTATAATCAGGAGGGAGGGCCATAGCAATGAAGCAGAAAGTGCAATCACTGTTTGCCAATGTCTTCTCACATACCTTGTTCAGAGGGTCATATTTAAAAAATGGAACAGTCAATTTTTCTGTTCAGGATTTTGATATTTTGCTATATTGTCTCTCATACCTTGGTGCCAATTGTGAGACGATTTTGTAATCACCCTTTGCTCATCTTCGGTTAACCACATATTCTCATATTCTCTAAATGTCCCATTTAATACTGCTATATTAAAATGTCTTGTAAAATGCAATAATTTGAGACTTTTAATGATCAGAAGGCAAGGTTGTAGTAAATATGCAGAAAGTGCCAGTGAATTCACGTTTTGCCTTTGTCTTATTTACTCGTTGTCTAACATGCCAGTTTGTGTTATTGTGAGTTTTGAAAATTGTTTTTTGGATTTTCTGAAATGTGTTTCATATAAAATTCAATTTGGACAGTCCCTTTTTACATACACATTTCCCTTTCCTGAGGATATGTACAGTAATCTAGCCTCGTCGAACTCCAGCACGTCTCACACACTTATCTGCAACTTTTCACTGTTTCACTTTCTTGCATTTTAGTACCGTAAAGGTTCTCCTAAACTGTTAAAACAATTATATAATTTAACTCAAGTAGGGATAAACAGAACCGAAATAGTGGAAATGTAACTGACCAATCAGTTCAAAGAAAACTGACTGTTTTACTACGACTCCTACATCGTGCGGTACAAGACGTGACAGTTTAGGCTCGGAAATATGTTTATTGATCTCACCAGTCAGTGTTTGTCCGCGATGTCCGGTGCTGCTCTCAGTACAGTCCTGATCCCCACCGGCGCTGCCGCTCTTCCCGGTATCGCTCAGCCCGGCTCCGGCTCCGAGTCCGGGTCCCGGCTCCCTCCCCGCCGGCCCCAGCCTTTCCTTGGCGATTTCCAGTCGGAAATCGTTCAGACTGGCCTCGAAGACCTTGGTGATCTCTCGCACTGCCAGCTTCAGCAGGGTGTCCGAGAGAGAGGCGAGCCGAGCCTGGAAGACGAACACGGACTGCGACACCCCGCTCTCCACCAGGTCTGCGATCTCCCGCACCGCGACTCGCAGCAGGATCTCCATGACAGAGCAGAGCCGGCTCTGGAAGGCCACCACCGACTCTGCCATCCCGACTTACTGGTCTACAGTTTTAGGTTTGAAAGCTCGGTTAGGGTCCATTCCACTGAAACAATCCAGCGGCACTCTGTGCCTTGCTTGCAACGGGGAAAGCTGTTTGAATGGGTCCCACAGGCTGCCTTTTCATTGGCCCGCTCCACACCCCCCTCCACCCTGGCGCACATTGATGATGTGTGACTGTCACGTGACAGTGGACCGCACTAGCCATATAGAGGGGCCGCAGTACAATGATTTTCATTTTTTGTTAGTCTTTTCTTTACCTTGTTATTTTTCAGGTTTTTGATGGAGTATAATATCGTATTTCCACCATATAAGCATTAAAGGAGGGAGTAGCATTAGACCATTTTGTTTTGTGAATGTGGTATCAACCCAGTATTATTATTTTTTTAATTTATAATTTAAATCTATATTATGAACTCCTTAAATCTAACATTCACATTTAAATGTTTAAAGATAATGTTCTGCAAGTCCAGAACAACCATATATATATATACAGGTAACAAACAAATATCTCAGTTTATTTTCCTAGCTCACAGAACACACATACTGTAAATCTTGTTCTTGTTCTTGTCTGAATCTCGAAAGTGTTAAACAGAATTAAAGCTCCAGTATGAACAATTGCAAATGTGATTTAACCTTGTTTGCAAGGCAGTATCTGTTGGGTTGTCCAAACTAATTTCCAATGACTGATTTCAAACGTTGCATTCCAGAAGGACAGCATAATGGAATCATCCCTTTTATTTATTATTATACCAAATCGTATTATTATACAAAGTCTGCAAAAATATACTGTACATTGCCCCCATCTTATAATGAAACAGCTGCTGTTCCAGATGTAGGAATATCCACAGCTATAAAATGACTTTGTGCAATTCCCACCTAGTCAAGATAAGATAGATAATTCAATTCAATTCAATTCAATTTATTTTAATATAGCACCTTTCACAACAAGGTTCCCTCAAGGTAAGAAGATCTTTATTGGCCATATACAATTTCTTTCATTAGGAGTTAGTCTTTTTCACATACCTCTTTCCTTGAGACACACAGACACAGATAGGGAGAAAAGCTTGGGGTCAGAGCACTATTTATATGGTGCCCCTGGAACAGTTGGGGTGGTGGAAGGGTGTCCCCATTACCTGTAAAGCGCTTTGAATGGAGTGTCCAGAAAACCGCTATATGAGTGTAAGGGTTAGGGTTAGAGTTAGGGTTATCTTATTTGAGAGGATAGGCTCCGGCTCCCCTAATATCAATATCGAAGCGTTTAGAAAATGAATGAATGTGTATCAGAATTACATTATGTTCTTATTACCAGAATTGTTTGTTGGCTACTATTTTACAGTGAAAAATTACATTTTCTGTTAATTTTACTGCATTCATAATCTATTAGTTTTATTATCTGTTATAAGCCTTTGTTTTAGAAAGTGTTGCAACAAAGGATATCAAAGTACAACAAAGGTTGCAAAGGATCCAACTTCAGGCCTCACAGGCCTCCAACACAATGGTTGGAGTTCATATGCACTTACTCTATGAATGTTATAGTATGTAGAGTAGTTTACTTACTGTATGTTGAAGAAATTAATTGAACCTAAGGCACTTAAGAAACATCAGAATGACACAACCATATAAGATGAAAGTGAAAGTCATTGTATAAATTCTGCAGGCCAGTATGCAAAAATAATCAATGCAGATTTTCTAGGAAGCTACACTGGTCGATTATAGTGAAGAATTAAAATTCAGCACCCAGAAAACAGCTTAAGACTATGAGAGAGAGTCTCAGAGAGGACAAGCTGTGCTCCCAGTGCCAGTAGAGACAGAGATGCACTGTAGGATGTACTCTGGGTTTAGAGAAACAATTATCCCTAAAATTGCAAATCTGAGAATTCTAGCACCTGTCAGAATCAGAACAGCTTCCGATCCTACTGGTATAGGTAGGATGAAACTCAAAGCTTCAGCCCAGTATGTGATCTCCTGTTTCAGTCTTGGGAACAGACAGTGAGCTTATTTTCTGTTTTTTTGTATGTCGTGGGGACCAGATCCTAGCCAAGGAACATGAATCTTGTTTAAGAGAGCTTGCCATACTGTATATTAGGAAACGTATTGCTTTATTTTGGAAATCTCAAGCTAAAAACTCTCACTAAAAAGACAGATTCTCTCCTAATTTGGTTAGGAACCCTTAGAATAGGGAGATTCCTGTTCACTTTTGAGGACAGTTTTATAGAAAGGGAGATTTAGTACTGGGACTTATTCTGTTCATTTAGGAAGCAAAGTATTTCTCTTGTTGGTCTTGGTGTCCAGGCCTCTTAGATGCCTTGTTTTTAAGTAGTGAAATGTGGTATATGTGGTATATGTGGTTTTTATTATTAGCAAAACACATTATCCTAGTTTGCATCTGATTTATTGCTATTATCTAGCACAGCTCTGGTGCCTCAAATTACACCTACAGCTAGGGTATATCTTTGACGTTTGGGTTTTAATTATTTTATTTCCCAATCTCTATGTGCTATTTTCCTGACACCGCCTTATTTCTAACAACGTTGGATGTTCTTGATGTCAGGAATTGAGTAATGGATGGGGTGCCACATCCAGTACCTTATATAAATAATAAACAAAGTAGGATGCTATTTTCTTGATTTGAAATTAAACTATTTAAGCAATGGAAGGTGCCGTACCTCTTTGTGCCAGCAGGGAGAGAGTACTTGTCATGCTAAATGTTAGGCTCAATCTGTGTGGTTTAGATTTCACGTAATGTCTTCACTAAAGATATTTGAATTACCACTGCGCCGGTGAAAGTTTACCTGCAACTTTGTTTAATGTGCATGTTTATGTAAACAATAACATAATTAATCCTTTGGAGATTATTATAAAATACCCTAGTTGCATAAAGTACCAATTGTCCTGTACTATGGTTACAGTTATGACTCAAGCAACAGTTAAATGTCACTAGTTTCAACAGTTAAATGTCACTAGTGTCACTAGTTTCATTTAACTCAAGTGTTGCTTTTTACTTATTGTACCTGCATCACTATTACATTTCCTTTCACATGCAGTTGCAAACTCACTTGTATCTGTTTGAGACTAATGATGTTTATAATTGTTGTTAAACATGATGTGTATCATCACTTCTTTATACTCTGTGTGCAGGATTGCAGGAGACATGCAAGTTCATTGCAAGTTCTGTTCTTCTGCAGAAGTATACAGATAACATAGCAGGCAGACTTATTCTGGTCTTCCTGTCTGCAAACAGCTACAGTAAAATCTCTGTAATGTGTGGGTTGTGTATCTGCTGTGGTTTTGCAATGCAGCAAGACAGAAAAAGCAGGTTTCAGAGCCCAGCTTTTCTCTCAAGATAAATAAGTGATAGAAACTGTCCAGAACTGCCCAGTGTTTCCTCTGGGTGCTCTGGTTTCTTCCCACAGCCCAAAGACATGCTGGTAGTTTAATTAGGTTCTGGGTAAATTGGCAGGTAATTAGTGTCAGTGTGTACATGTCTCTGTTTGTCTGTCTGCCCTGAGATGGACTACTGTCCTGTCCAGGGTGAACCCTGACTTGTGCCTGTTGCTAACTGGGATAGGCTCTGGCTCCCCCTTAATCCTGAATTGGTTGAAGTGAATAGAAAATGGACAATTGGAATAAATGCTTAGGAGCTTTAATCATTTTAATGAACAGGAATTCTATTTTGTTATTAATTAACAAAATTATAATAAAAAAGTGAATACATTCATCTTTTTTTCCCTCTAATATTAGTTTTCTACATATAGATTGTTTTATAGCATAATTGTATGTATCATAAACTCGAAATCAAAATATTTTGCTCAGATTTCACAGGCATTCTCACTAAAACAAGCCAATTCAAAGCTTTAGAATTGAAAACATAATGCCAAAACTCAACATTTTCCACCCTGATTTCATGTCCAGTGTATTCCGTGATCATTTGTAGTTCTTCACCTGGCACTTGATGCGTGTGCTCAGGCAGCTGTCGCACTCGAGGTGACGGTTCCGACAGTCCTCACAGGCACGGTCCCTGGTTTTCTCGCACTCGAAACACTCCGTTTGAGTCTTCACACAGGTTTCACAGTACACTCTCATGGTTTTGCATTCCTCACAATTTTGCCTACGAGCATAGCAGTCTTTACATTTTATTTGTTTTTCTTTGGGGATCCTGTTGCACGTCGGGCAATCTTTCTCAAATTCTGCACAAGTTTGACATGCCTTGTCATAGCCGGCTACTTGGCAGTCTCTGCACCGTCTCATCCTTTCTTTGCAATTGTTGCACCAGGTCGTCTTGTCCTTGCAGGTGTTGCATGAGGTCATGGCTTTGCACTCAGGACAAATCTTCTGCACTTCATAAGGACAGTTCCAAATATGGAAGTCCATGTTGGCCAAGTTACTAAACCCTTGTTGGACACTCTCCATGCACTCCTCATCATTCTTGTAGGTCTGGGTATACACAAAGTACAAGGCAACATTTTGTCTGTCCTTCCAGGATCGAAAGGGGTCCTCAGAGAGGGGCTTGTCAATCCTTCGGTCACTTGTGTCGTTAAAACAGTATTTCAAGCAGGGACTGTTGGTGGTGTAGAATACCACACATCCTCCACCTTGAAGAGTCTGCTGCAACTTCCCTCCCAGCCACTCAGCCCCGGTCATTTCCCTGGACTGCTGCCCTGCCGCCACGTCCCATCCACTTTCTGGCTGCCTCAGCATTTTAAATTCAGAACATTTCTGATGTGGATCTGGCAGGACAGCCATGTAGTTGGCTGTGTTTGCAGTGTTGAAATCTTTTACTGAGGTTGCAATGTTGGGGATAGGCTCATTCTTTCCATCCATATAGTACCTGACTCCGCTTGCATCCCTGCACTGTTCCGGGCTCAGGCCAATCATAAAGCTCATCTGGTTTAGAAAGCCAGATCTCTGGTAGTTTGTAATGAGGAAGCTGTGAAAGAGAAAAGGGTGCAAAAAGAAAGTGAAAAAATATCAACTTTTGTCAAGGAGAAGAACATAATTAAAATTTCTGAGACAAGAATTAGATAAATCCATCTTCTGCTTATAGCTCTGGTTGCAGACCCATCACAAAACATAGTAATAAGAAAAACACTGTTTTTAAGACAAAAACACTATTTAGCAAGTATACATAAAAATATCCAGAAAGAGAAGCTGACAAGATATTGAAATTTGCTCACATCATCCCAAATAGACACTGTGCTCGTTACAATGATGCATTGCTACCCATTTGTTAAGATCTCAATTCATGTGTATACTGTATTAAATTCTGTGGCTTTAAACTGAGACTTAAATCATTGTGATGAAACCTATCAAGATCTTTCTGGAAGTCTAAACATATGATAACATAGTAGTTCAGGTGGGTAGCTGCGTCAGCATGCGTAGGCTGCAAAGGAACAAGTAATAGGTTTATTCCATGCTGAAAAAAAGAAGAAAGAGAACACAACGTTTCGGACGTGGAGCCTTCTTCAGGTGTGAAGAAGGCTCCACGGCCGAAACATTGTGTTCTCTTTCTTCTTTCTTTCAGCATGGAATAAACCTATTACTTGTTCATATGATAACATATTCTTTAATTAATCTGCTGTCCTGCCTACATCTTAGAAGAACTGGAGCATTTCTGTTTTTATTTTTATTTTTGCCTTAATAGTGTTTGAATTGAACTCTATCATTTCATTAGCTTAACCAGTAACATAGGTCCAGCTGACAGGAATAAAGTTTCCTGATTCAGATATTTTGTGACTTTGGTAGTTCTGTGAAATTGTAATCATGATAAAACAAGCTGACAAATATAAAGGTCTAGCATATTTAGTACTCATCTGGGTGAGAAAATGAATGTTGGGTGAAGATCCCCTCGCTTACAAGGAATGAACCAGGGAGGCAGAGCCAAGCGTGGGAAGAGGGACAATAGAAAAATGTGCGCAGCGTTGGCAGGCAGTTAGCAAATATTTAAACCACATGGAAGAGAGCGGAAGTGCAAGATTAGAAGTTGACCTCATCATGAACTTCTGCTAAATAACACCTTGGACTTTTTCACATTTTACTGTGTTACTGTGATGCCCTGATGAGCCCCAGTGCTCCCATAATTATTCCATCCAATTCCACGGCGTGTTTGTGTGTTTGCTCTCTATTTCAGGTTTCCAGAAGGTAACTGCAGTTTATTTTTTCCCTTTAATGGAAAAACCCGATGTCATATATAACGAAGAAGAATCGCCTTACGACACCGCTCACTCCCTGGCTAAGGAAAAGAAGTGCTCTGCCGGTGCTCAGGCAGTACACGTAAAACCAGACACTATTACATAAATTATAAACAAATATAAAACAGAAAATAAGTGATTGTATAAGTATACACCCCCTTTACTATAATTAACCTAAATAGGCTCTGATGTAACCAAACATCTTTAGAAGTCACATAATTTGTTGAATGAATTTGTGTGCAATTAGGGTGTTTCACTTGAGTTTAGGATAAATATATTGTACCTGTGGGAGGTCCCACAACTGATTACTACAGCTCCCAATAAAATTTACATCATGAAGACAAAGGACCTTTCAAAGTAAACCTGGGATTATTGGAAAGCATCATTCAGAGAACGGGTATAAGAAAATATCTAAGGCATTACATATCCTCCAAAGCACACTAAAGTCCATTATAAAGAAATGTAGAAAATATGGAATAACTATGAATGTGTGACAAACAGGGAGTCCTCAGAAACGGTGTATCCAGGCGGGAAGAGCACTGGTCAAGGAGGCCACCAAGAATATACCCAAAAACACTGAAAACATGAGTCCTCTCTAAATCTCTAAATATGACCTGAAAGAACCTGTTAAATCTGTTAAGTCTATAAACATTTAGGAGAATACAGCAAGAGCCTGAGGCAGAGTACAAACTTAAAAGTGAGATTAATACTTTTTTTGAAGTAAAAGGTGATTTAGGTGTTTTGCCAACACACCCCAGAAGAATTGATGCAAATAAACTTTTAAACAATTGAAACATTGGCTTTTTAAAGCCAGAGCTCTTTAAAAGCAGGAGTTACTGTATATCCCCTCTGCCATGAAGCAACAGGCATGTTGCAGCTGTAGTGACCACAGACTTGTCTTTCTCATGTAGTGGCTGAGGGCCACACCTCTACACTCCTGCCTGCTTTGCACTGATTGCTGAGGAGACCAGATACCATATTGCATCAAGCGCTCTGAGTTATTTACTGTAAGCTCTACTAAGCTTCTCCTTGGCAATCTGGCATCAGGTTACTTGCATCCCTGCCCTGTGATTCATGCTCGAATCACCAGATTGCTTTTCCAGTGCTGTCCTCTCTGCCTCGTTCCCGTTTCCCTGTCTGCCTGGATTTTCCCTGTTGTTTCCCTGCTCCCTGGCATGCTCAGACTTTTCTGGGGGACCATCTGATGCTATGATTTTCAGTACTGCTCCAGCCTACTGAGTGTGGCAGTGTAGCTGGGGACTCTGCAATGAATCTGGTTCTCCATGGGCGAACTGCTTGGCCTGGTCCAGGGTTTGGCTTTGATAAACATACCCAGCTTGGTGCCTGGCACTCTCCCCATTGACCACCCTGTTGGCTCAGGTGCAGACCCTTCAGCCCTGCCTGTCACGCCCTCTACTCACCGTATTCTCACACAGAAACGCACCCACACTAACTACACTCCAGCCCTGAGCACTTCTGCCAAACGACACCGCCCCTGCAAATCAGCCAACCACGACACTTCCTCAATCAACGCACCTTCTTCCTCGCACAGTACTTAAACCCCTCTGAACCCTCTGCTCTTCGCCCGGTATTGGTTGTACGTTAGTTCACCTGCCTTGCCTTCGTATCTCTTTGCCTTCTAACTCTTAGTTACTAACCACAGAACTCAACCTCAACTTCGTCTACTGTCTCACCCCTCGGATTTGGAAGCCTACTCGTTGATCTTCCCCTTTTGACTCTTGGACCTGCCTTCTCGACTTCGAACTCAGTCTTGCCCTTCTCTGGTTTGGATACCTTCTCTCTTGCCTTTTTCCCACGGATCTCTGAACCTGACTCGGACTTTAACTCTTTAGGTACCGCATAGGGACCATCCTCCCGTTACCTTAGTGGGTCAACCTGACACTGCCTTGCAGCCTGGAGCACAGCACAACCTCAAATCCTGATGGTTCGTCCCTTTTTCAAATGGGACCCTGCCAGGCTTCAAGTGCAGACTGAGCAGCCCTGCCCTGTCCCTGATTCTCCTCCCTGTATGTCCAGTATCCCTGTGAGTATCCCTGTGAAGCAGAGTCCATTCTGGAGCGCACTGGCCACTACCTCTGAACTATGACTCCCTTGTTCTTGGAAATGTCACTCCTCCTGTCCAACCCCCACTGGTGGGTGGTATGGACTAACAGTAGCTGTGTGAGCAGAGGACTGCTTGGTAATTCAGACAATGAGAAACAAAAGTGAAGATCAAGGGAATGCAGAGAGTGAGATATGCTTACATATGGAAGCAAGTGGAACTTGTAGCAGAGGGGCTCTGCAAGTGACAAAAGCTTTGGGCTGTTTTGCCAGTCAAGAATGAGAAGGACTGTGAAAATATTTACCACATTGGAGTACCCTCTGAGGAGTCTGAGGTTTAGGGAGGATAAGCAGTGGTAGCAGGCACCATTGCCATGACCTAAGTGTTTCATCCTGCTGCTGCTTTGAATGGGTTTAGTGAGAGCAAAAATCGCCTTTTAAAGAGACAGTTGGTGTCGGTGCTTGGTTAAGGAGCTACCATCTGTGGAATTATGCCTGAGCACCTCTGTGTCAGAATCTGTTGTTTTTACTCTGGCATCCACACAGTGCAGCGTTGTTGCTGGCTGATGTTGTGTGCTTGCATCCACAGGGCAGAGGAATGGAGAGGAAGGAAAAGGGAAAGTAGAGTGAGAGGAAACTGTGGAAAGGAGGAGGGGACCACAGACAGGGCGGGGTTTAATGGAGATTGTGAAAGAGAGAATGAGTTGGAAAGAGGATGAGGTGTGGTTGTTCCAGGAGTTCTAGGAGTTTCATCAGGTGTACAGGGAGGAAGAGCAGGTGTGAGAAGGTGATTTCCATGGAAAGGTTAAGGCCAAAGAGCTGCTTGTTCAAGATTGCAACATTCTGCCCTGGTAAAGGAGAACAGTGATTGATTTATTAGTTTTTATCTGTCCTAGCCTCTCTATACAGATGCAGCCATTCAAAGTGAGCGGTACAGACACGTACCGCAGGTAATTGGCTGCGGTATCGCGTATCATGACGCATTATGACGCGGTG